CCTAAATTATTACAATATACTGCCCCCGTTGCAGTAGCAGTATTCAATGTTCAAACGCAGCCTAAACCCTAAACCCTAAATTCTATAAATCAGGGCTCATGAGAACCCAGACCTGCACGAATGAACATCTCAGCACCACGTAAGCAGATGCTCCTTGCCCCACTTCTTCTCCTCGACTTTCTTCTCGCAAATGCCACTGGCCTCCTGATAAGAGGGCTGAGGGTTAGGATTGCGTGGATTGGGTTTACTGGAGAACACTCTACCCATGCTTGCGGGTTGGGGATTCTAAGGCTCAGCAATGCAATTAATGCACTGATCCGAGACATGCTTTACACAAAACGTAGTATCGGCACGTGTGGCGGACACTGCTGCGCGATTGGGTTTAGGGTTTAGGGTTTGCGTTGGAGCAACTTCTTCCAAGAGTAGCTCGTAGGTCCTAGCGATGTAGGGCTTTAGGAAGCTGGGGCGTGAGGTTGTGTTTGCAACTGCTGGGTTGGAGGCCCACAAACCCTCAACCCGGCTCTTGCTCGGCCTTTGGGCTGCAGACGCCCCATAGCAGTTCCTTTTTGGGTTCAGATTTGTTTATTCTATAAGGTAATCCCAAGAAGGAACTACTATGGTGCAGACGCACGAAAGTGTAAGTGTGACGAGGTTTCGACTCGGAGAGCTTTGGAGCGGCCTTAAATTGAAGGAACCATACAGCACAGGCCCTGCAAGTGGCACTGTGTAACCTGTCTTCTCAGGACTCTTGTGCCGCAAGGGCCAGCAGGATCGGAACCCGGCGAAGAAGGCTTAAACCTAAACCATAAACCGTAAACCGAAACCCTTAATGAAACCTGGGAAACACCTGTCTTTCTGCTACGACGGAACCTGCTTCTGCTTCTTGGTCTCTGCATCCATCCAGTAGTCTTTGCCTCGGATTTGCTAAGAAACCCCGAAGAAGGCGGCTTCAGGAAGGATTTAGGGTTTAGGGTTTAGGGTTTAGGGTTAGGGTTTAGGGTTTAGGGTTGGGTAGTTCTCCAAATAAAAAGGGTCCCTTTTTAGTGTCCTTTTGTAAGGGTGCCGTACTATATTTGGGACCCAAAAAGGACCCTAATTTAGAGAACTACCCATTCAGGGCTTAGTAGGGTCTAGGGTTTAAAGTTTAGTAGGGTTTGGAATTTAGGGTTTAGTAGGGTCTAGGGTTTAATTAGGGTTTAGTAGGGTTTAGTATTTAGGGTTTAGTAGGGTCTAGGGTCTAATTAAGGTTAGAATTTAGGGTTTAGTAGTAGGGTCTAGGGTTTTCTAAACCCCACTAAACCCTAATTAAGCCCTAGACCCTCCTAAACCCTAAATTCTAAACCCTACTAAACCCTAATTATATAAACCCTATAGAGCCTACTAAACCCTAAATTCCAAACCCTACTAAGCCCTAAACCCTAGACCCTACTAAACCCTACATTCTAACCCTAATTATGTAGGGTTTAGGAGGGTCTAGGGTTTAGGGTATAGGGTTTAGGAAGGCCTAGGGTGTTGAAAGAAGGCTGGAGGGCTTTTGAATGCGTTCTCTAGGTCCAATATTTCAGCAATGTAACCTAACTTAGAAGAATGCCTAAGGCCATTGAAAGCGGGTTGGAGGGTTTCGACGGGGGTTTATAAAATCCTAACGCAATGTAACCTGGATGGACTGTGCTCTCTTGCTGCACAGTAGAAACGTTTAGGGTTCAGAGTGTAGGCTTTAGGTTTTGGGATCAGGGTTGCCCAATAACATCTGTCTCTGGATGTCTGGTGCAAAAACCTTATCAACTGCAGACCAGTACCATATATACATCGCCCTAAGAACCCATCACTTGAAACATCTAACCCTCAAACCATAGCTTCGACAAAAGGAACCTACAACGATGGCATGAAGCGATTCTTAGTTGGATATTGAGACGTCTAAGTCTAGCGTATACCTGTCAACCCCCATTCAATGCCTTTGGCCAAGCTTCATTCGTCAACCCTCCCGAAAATCAACTGAATTTGGCTTTGCAGGTTAATACATGCTCAGAAAAAATGTGATTTGCAACCCTCGTAAAGCCAGTTGTCATTCCAGTGGCCTCCACAGGTGACATAGGAGTACCAGAGCCCCTTGCCTTGGTAGCTGGCGTCGGGCAAGTAGCCTCGGTCTTCTGCGGCTGCAAGGTCCCAGAGACACCGAAACCCTAAGCCTTAAACTTAAGCCCTGAACCCTGCCACCTAACCGGGGAGAGCTTACATGAAGGGGCCACTCGAAAGAACTCCTACAACTTGCTATACATGCAGATCAACTAAAAGATTCCCGGTCATCAAAATCACAAGGTGGTTCCTTCTTTGAAATTTATGGGGCTCTCTGGGTGCGTGGGCTCGTCAACGGCCCACCAAGGAGAGGAGACCTAGACCCAGAACCTGAACTTTTAATTCCTGAAGCTGACAGACCGATACTCTAAAAATATAAACCCTAAAGGGATTTCGAAGAATATCGAGGACGATGCCAACAGAGATCGGCAAAAAGCATGAGGGAGCGGGCCACGTCGCCTGCATGATGTACGGTTTTCTTACGAAGCCCTCAACGACGAGGATCCACCGAAGTAATGTAGGGGCCTTGATAATTAAAGAAAGGTTTTGGGGGTTCCTTGTCATAATTCTGGTATAATATACCCCAAACCCTAATCTACTCATTACGGCCCCTATATTATGTGATGCCAAGTCTCCCTACAAGAAGTAGTCCCGAAGGTCCCCTGGGGTTCCCTCAAGTTACTGAGTACACCATCCCCTGGAACCATCCTCAACAGGGGCCTCGGTTCGTTTAGGGTTAAAGGTTTACGGGTTACATTGCTAATATCCCCAAAATAGCAGAGCCCTATTTACTACCATGCCCACTTCCTTATTCCTTACAAGGGAGATCCCAATGCACGGCGCAGCCTACTTTCTGGCTCTTTCGGGGTCAAATATAAAACCCCTTATGAAACCTGGTCAAACCTAAGAATTCTCTTGCATAGCCCTTAACCCCAAACCGGATAAACCTTAAACTTCCACCCCTAGACCCTTAAACTTAAACCCTAAACCCTAAGCTTACAAAACTTAAAACCATCAGTAAGCCCTGAGCCTTAAGCTTTCACTTCCCAAACCCTAGCGCCTTAGAGAGCCCTCATAGAACCTTGAGCCTTAAACCTTCAATTCCTAAATCCTAATCGAAGCTTTAGAGGGAGTGATAGAACCCTCATAGTACCGTCAACACTAAGCCCAACACCCTGAAAAGACCTGGACCCTCTAAAGAGCCCAGCAGCTGTTTGCCAGCGTTGGAGGCACTTCGAGGTCGCAGTTGCAGGGGTCGACGAAGCAGTAGGGCTCCGCGCACCTCTTGCATTTGGGCTGCGGCTTCAAGGTCCAGGATTTGGGGCTTGCTGGGCTTATGACCGTATCGCCACTCGGGATGCAGGCACACGTGAGACGTATTGTCTGAGAGTCCACTTGGAACTTGGGGAAACAATCCAGGTCCCCTACATTAATAGGGCCTGAAAGCCTTTCAGGGTCTTTGAGGGTGCTTTAAGGCAGTATAGCAACGGTGCTTGGAGGCCACGCTGCGTCCTGCTGCGATACAAAAGAAAGACGGAGCCGAGTCTCGAATCAGGAAGCTTGAAGATATAGCTGACGGCAGACTAGGATTATTCCTCTAGCCATTGTTTCCGAGAAACGGAATGAGCAACGCCTTTGGCCGTCGATTCCTTGTAGCTTCCTTCAGCTCCGAAAGCAGGATGCCGCAACGATGCAATATACTCAGGAAATTCACGGTCCCGCCTATGTTGGTCGTCCGTTCAGCGGGGCTCCACACGCGGTACACAAGCTATTCAGGCCCGTAAATGAAGCATACATGCGGGTGTGACATTAAGTGTCTTTGCTTGTGAATTTCCAGCTGGCTGTAGGATTTCTGGATGTAGGGCTTAGGGCTCTAGATGTCCGCGGGCAAAGAAGATTTCATGATTTCTGTGGGAATACTGCAATGCAAGGGTGCTCTCGTGAACGAAGTGCTGCAGAGTTTTTGGGTTTAGGTTTGGGCATCCTAAACCCTAAACCCAAATCCTTGAAACCCTAGACCCTAAACCCCTA